AGCCTGGGCACCGCCCGGGCCCCGGGGTGAGTGGCGACCGCGGGCACCGGGGGGTGTCGGGGGGCGCGGTTTGCTCCTGGGTCCCTAACACCGTCTGGCCCTTCTCTTACTGGCAACGTCGTTCTCTGTCTGTGTATAAGGTGCTCCTACTAGTAAAGACCTGATGTCTGCACCACGAAGGCACCCCAGTTTGGGCTTTCTTGAAGGTCTGTGCAAAACTGGTGAACGGGAATAGGCACTGCGGTCGCCTGGGATAACCCTGGTGTGCTCCTCGCAGTTACCGGTGGCTTGCGCAAATGTTGCCCGTTTGATACAAGGCTGCAGTTATGCTCGTTCCCTTTTTGTTCTTTTGTCATTGGTGGAACGTTTAATTCAGTAAGTTATAAAGTGCTACTCTGAAATTCTGTTGTGTAAGACTGCAGGAGTTAGGACAGGTGCAGCTTTTCTGTGTCATTTAGTCTTTCTGAATAATAGGTTTGTGTATCTCTTCAGCAGATCTCTTTTAGCCGATCTTTACCAAAAGGTCTCTTGCCTCTTTGATACATAGTCATCTCTCACTTTTAAAACAAGAGAGAAAATAAAAAAAGAAGGATTTGGTTTTCCTTTCAGTACTACTTCCATGCTTCGCCAGGGGAATTAAAGCAATGTCTTGGCTTTTGTTCTTAAGTCATTACATGGCACATGTGCTGCTTAATTAGCTGAATAAAACCAGCCAGCTCAGAGCCTCGGGGAAGATGTGTGAATAACTGAACTCAGAAGCTTCTGTAGTAGATAATGTACATACACATACAAATCCTGTTTCATGTACATATCCAATAAGATTCAATACAAGTTGCATATAAGCATTAAAACTGCTGTACCATATTAGAGATATGCTCCAGTCAGTCTTGTTTATCTAAATATTTAGAGTATTTCTACTAAAGAGAAAAAATACGTTGTATAGTGATGTCACAGCTCGTTTATTTTATTTTTCTAGCGAAACTGAAAATGTTACTTTGTACAAAAAGTACCTTAAGTTTGAATGCCCTGCAGCCTCCTGTAGAATTAAGGTAGGGAGTTGAACAGAATTGTTTTGTTTGTCTCTTTAATCACTTGATTTACTAAATTGCACTGCTCTTAGTCAAATTATTGTTTTTATACACTTCACCACTTCATATGATCACGTAAAAATCTGTTAGTGCTTTGTCTTGGTAGCAGAGTTCTTTTAAACTTGTATTACAGTTTCATTTTTATGAAGACTTTATATGAAAGATAATATAGTCTCAGAGGAAGAGAAACTTCAAAACCCAGATAAACTGCACATAATCAACCATTGTTGTTAATTAGAGCTGTTAACTCCAATGTGGTTAAATAACCTTATGAAAATCTCTATGGCCACTGCTCTTAAGTGCTTAGAAGACCAAGGCCTGATTTATCTTTGGGTCATGGAGGCACCTGTTTTCCAGTCAGAATTTGCCAAAGAGTGATAGCAAGGAGAAATCAGCTTAATTTCCCTGAAAAGAGTCCAGCATTGTTTTTCCCAAGACTCAAAGAATAATGCATTGTCCCAAATATCTGAAGAAAACATGAAACTATTTTTTTTCCTAACCAAAATATTTTTTTTCCTTCTTGCAATAGCTGCTCTCCATTGGTGAGAAACAAAGAGTACTCATCAGTAAAATAATTGTACAAGTGAAAACAGTGTCTGCAAAACTAGCAACTGATTTTCCTTCACTAGGCTCAAGCATAGATCTAGACAGAGTGCAAACTATAATGGAGTCTATGGGATCTAAGTTGTCTCCAGGTGCTCAGCAACTCATGGATATGGTCCGATATCAGCAGAAAGTAAGTCACTGGGCTTTTCTGTAGCCGTAAATAGTACTGATCTGTGACCTTGCCTTCTGTAACGGTTCTAAACTGATGTGGTGGAAAAGATCTGTGATTCTATTTGTTTTTTTTTAACCCACACTTTCTGCCATTGTAATCCTGGTTCAGCTTTTGCCACTCTTAAGTGAGTGCAATGAATTCAGGGAATCGCTGGGCATACACCAAGTCCGGAGTTAACTCTGTATCATCATCATTTTAAACTTCACTGCCCCCCTGCTCTCCTTTTGTTCATTTCCATTGTCACTACTTGTCCAGGATGGTGGGCATGTTCCCTGTAATGTTTGGGGTGTGGGTGGATGGGCTGGTTTGTCTCCTTTGTGGTTGTTAAAAGCACCTTCAGCTTATGGGTACGTGCTCTTAGGGAGCATTTATTTGGTTTAGATCCTGATCCTGCAAAGCAGGCTGTTTCAGTGGAATCCTGAATGTGATGTTAATAATGTTGTTTTGGGGACATAGCCTGGTAAAAATGAAGTTGGTAAAACTGTTTTGTTGCTTAGAGACTGCCAAGATAATTAATATACAATTATGCACAGGGAAAATTGTTCCCTGTGCTTTTCCCTGAGAGTATAATTCAGAACCACTTTTAAAATCTTTACGTCGCACTAGTAGAATGTCAAGTTATAAAGTGTCTGTTATTATTGTATAATTTCCAGCATATTTTAATAATTATATTGTTTTTCTTCCCATCAGAACAGTTTACCTCTTGGAGACAAACTTAATTGGATCTTTGGGAAAAATTCAGAGCTTGGGGGTGACCATGCAATAGATGGATTGCACAGTGCAGCTACTCGGCCATCACTAGATCAGTCAGCCAGTGAACTGCTGCCTGTTGAAAGTCATTCAACAAGTGAAACAATACATGAAGGCTTAAAAATAAGTCGTGATCTGAACACCCTGGTACCTGAAAGAGGGAACACTCTTGATTCTGAAAGACTTACTGCTCAGCAAAATACAGTTGACCTCAGAAATTGTTTAAAACTCATGGGATCTTTGCATGTGCAGGAACAAGCGAGCGAACCCCCAAATGTGGCTCATCCACAGGTGCTGCTTCCTTTTCTTCAAAACCTGTGTAGTCAGGTGAACCATCTTCGGCTAAAAGATGGCGATAGGCGTTTTGGTAAAAATGTGGTGACTAGAGAGGAAGGTGTTCAGTGTGCCGGGTAAGTTAAGTTTGGTACACCTATTAAAGCTGTAGTTTGTGTTTATTGACAGGTTTAAAAATAAAATACATAATGTAAGCATTTATTCTCATTAACAGCAATAGTGAATCTTAAAATACGTGGTTTTGAAGACTGTGTGGCAATGAACGTGGTTACAATTAATTTTTCAGATGAGCCTCTTGAATATATTTTTTTCAGAGGAAATCACAACATCATTTGTTGGTTACTAAACTGTTTGTGTCTCTTGCCTTCATTTCACCTTTTATGATTTCAAAAAAAAGCGTGGTCTTTCTGCAGTTTCATGTATTTTTAGTTTGTTATTACACTTTCATTTTGACTGCTTCTACCTCCTAAATTCTTACCTCTTCCTTCTTTCACACTATGTGCAACGATCTTGCTGCTATACTTAGTGTTTCTCACCCCACTTATCTTCCCTGTACCCCGTTTGTTGGCATTTACAGTGCAGACTTCATAGTGGGAGTAGTAGCGCACCCAGTTTGATACCTAAGGAACAACAGTGGGAACGGTGAGATGTAGGAGTGTTGCCTGGGAATCAGGGTTCTAATAGGGCCTGAATACCTCCAGCTCCTGGGAAAGTGCAGTGTTTTTAAAGAATGCAGGTGCAAAAATCAAGAATTGCACAGTTTGTATAACTCTTGAGCTGAGAAGAGCAAAGTCTGCCATACTGACAGGATTTGAACTCTGTGTGCCGTTGTTTATTACACCTAACTGAGCTGTCTTATCTAATGCGTGATTGAGCCTTTGCAAAAAGTCAGGTTGAACAAAGGTGACTATATACCCTGGCATGTTTATATAAAAAAAAAAATCTCTGAGATTTAAAACATGTCAGAGAAGCAAGGTGTTTTACTTGGACTAAAAGCCTTCCAAAGTTTATTGGTCTCATAAATGAGATTTTACATTTAAAAGAAGTCAGAGTACCCAGATCTCTATGATGCCTCTTGCCATTAAGAAACAGGTTATACTTACTCTTACATTTGCTCTTTTTACAGACTAGAACAACAGCCTATTTGCTCCTATTTGGAAAAGATCATCTCAAAAAATATGGATCTGATGGAGAAAAAACTAATGGACTATATTGATCGCCAGATCCAGGCTCTTCAGACACACATAGATAACAAAATGGTTCTCTTAATGGACTTGGTTCAGAACTCAAAGCCAAACAAAATTTCACAAGCGCACTATGATTCTAATGAAGGGTTCTCTAATGGAGAGAGGTAAATGTGTACAGATAGAGGACCTCAAAGGAGTACTTAAGGGCAGTTACACCTTACAAGGCTTAGTATTTATGGAGTTATAACTGTAAAGAACCTCAGTGTTGCTGACTTGCATTTTGTTACTGTAATTCTATCCACTGTTGTACGCAGTTGTTGGTTTTATGAAAGATCTTCAGAATGCGTGTGTTTTCCTAAATACAATAATTTTCTATGCCCTTTGTGGCTTATTTATTTAAAGAACATTGCTGAAAGCCATATGAGAGACAGTTCCAGTTTGAACAATGGAAAAGTACCCTAAATAAAGTAGAGTTACAGCTTACCTTTTTACATACACGTAATGTGTTCACTTTTTTGTTGTCTTGCTTTTTGCTGTGTGTTACCAGTAGAACAGAGTGTGGTTTCTCTGTACATCTGGTTTATTTTAGTGGCACTCCTGTTGAAGATGTTTATTACTCCGTCTATAAGAGGAAGGGTTGTACTGGCATTGCCTGGCTTAGACTCTTTAAGGAGTCAGGTTTGGAGAGACAGGCTAACTTGACCTGCAGCCTGGGTTCTTTGAAAGCCTTGCTGGCTGTACAGGCACCTGAGGTAGGAATCTAGGCTTCTTAAGTGAGATCTAAAACAAGAGTGTCATTACACTTTTTCCCTTCTAAATTAGTTGAGCCATGTAGGAGCAGCTGAAACAAGCCGACTTATACTTGTCCATGTTTCATTATCCTAAGAAATTACTTCAGTCGCTGTTCCTCTCAAGGGGACTTTGTTGCCAGATGGAACATGTTGGGGCAGGTGGGATCTGCTGCATTTCACCAACCGTAGGCCAGAGAAGTAGCCTCGTTGCATCATACTTACTTTAACCTGCTGGGATCAGTTCTGTTGTCATTTGGGGAGGTGGAAATGGGACTTAAAAGTGCCTCTTTTGTGGAGGATTGAGCTTTGTACTTTGTTCTGTTTATTGCTCTTTGAATTCCAGGGTGTGCCATTTAACTTGGACTGTGGAGGGGCTGAACGGTGAACTCCTCAATTGGGTGCGCAGGCGTTGGGTGTGTTCAGGATGTCTTAAAATGCATTGAGCAAAAGCTGTTGATGGGGAAGCCAGTGTTGACTGAACACGCAGCATAGGCAGGTACAATCCAGTATCTTTATTTAGTCTATCTAATGTTTTCTTCTTCAGGAAAACAGGTGTCTTGGTCCCTTGATTTGTAGAGATTTTTTCAGAGAGGATAATTTGCTTGGAACAGACATCTCACAGTTGTCCCTCAGGCTTAGCTCATGCCAGATGCAGTTTGCAAGTTATTTGAAACGATAAAAAGACTTATTTTTTAAGAAAGGACCTAAATTATCTTGTACTTTACAAGTCACTTCACACCTGTAAAGTTAGTTTTTAGATACTCTCTGAGAAACCCCATGAAGCAGACTCTATATTCTTTTTCAACTCCATGATTTCAGATACATTACTAAGTTGAGAGGTTTTTTTAATTACAAAAAAAGTCAAAATATGTTTCCAAGCGTTGTTGTATTCCAAGGCTGTTTGTTTCTTGGTTATTGGTTGCTTTGGGGTTTTTCCCTCACTCCTCTTTGGCTGACAAATCAGAATAGAAGTTGACACAAATTCAAAATATCCTGAAGTAGTTAATAGGAGGTCTGGATTTTTTGGTAGCCGTATCGTGCTTGGTGTTTGTGATATTTTAGTATCACAGCTACCACAATGACAATATTGGAAATTAAAACCACAAATGAAAGCGTGTAGAAGCTGTATTGTTGCAGGTTCAGGGTTTCTGCAGCATCTGCTTTGGTGTGGGATTCTGTGTAGAGAAGAAATAAGGTGGGATGTTTAGAGATTTGAATACCGTGTCATTTCAAGGAAAAATAAGCACTTTTTCATATATTTTGGTTCTGAGGAGTTGACCCACACCGGTTGCAAATTCTGAATCTGTAGTGCTGAAGTGTTGTAAAAATTTGTAATAAAACAGTCGTGCAGAAGAGCATCGCAGTGTTAACAAATGCTTTGGTGTTGCTGCCAAGCAGTGCTGTCGTCTTTAGAACCAGATAGATGGGAGACACGTTACTGAGGCAAAGCCAGGCAAAAAAGAAACCCTGTCCCATCTGATGGCTTACTAGCTGGTCCTTGGTAAAACACATTGCTTTGCAAGATACTGTGAGAATTAATCTATGTTTTATACTACTTTTGAGTGTGATTTATTTGCACTTGAGGCCTTTTCACATTACACGTGTCCAGTTTCCAGCATATGAATGCAAAATCTTTCACTATTGAAATAAATGGGAACATGTTTAAAATGCTGCTAGAGTTGAAAGAGGTTAATAACTATTTAAAAGGGGATGAAAATACTTATTACTGTTAAGAGCATGATTAATGGTAGGCACTTCCTAGATCTGACACCTGAAAGCGTGTGGCACAGTGTGCTTTTCTCAGGTGAAGCTTTGCGCTCAGTAAAAGTTAGGCCAACGGGTGTGGAGGGAGTTGCAGTACAAGCCCTCTAAAATAGATTTTTCCCTATTTTGCAGTCTGTTCTACGTTAGCTCTCAATACTCACCTAGAGCGCTGTAGGGCAGGCTGCGAATTGTGCTAAAGTGTGTGGCAGGTTGGGGCACTAAAACCGAAGTTGTCTTGTAAACAGCTCTGCAGCCCTAATTTAAAAGCCTGGTGCTTTTGATTTCGGCTCCAGTGGCTGTCCTCGTCAGGTTTTTGTTCTAATGGGCAGTACACCCAGCGTGAGGATTTAACCTAGTGTGGAATAAGTCATCTGTGTTTGTCACCTGGCATAGCTGTTCTGTAGTACCACTAATAAAACGGAGTGAAATGGACTGTTAGAAGATACAAAGACTGTTACAAAGCCTGACTGCGATTCAGAACGTGCTCTTTAACTAATCGGTGGCTTTGAGGAAGGAGCCCTGGTCCCTATCTGTGCCTCATCAAAAAATGTCGTGTTTGAAAATCTGAAATCCTCTCTTGCCATTTGTAACTTTTTCCAAATACGTAGTCAGGTCCTGCACGCGCTCCTGCTGTGACGAGGAGCGAGTGCTGCTTTTTCTACTTCAAAGAGCGCGCCTTAGTCCAGAAGGCCGCCAGTCTTGTCAGTTTGAAAAGCTTCTGTCACCTCACAAAACACAAACTTCATTGAACCCGTTGCTCTGGTGCCACGTTAGTTTTGAACGAGTGTAATTCACTTATTGGTGGAACGAAGGTGGCAGAGCTTAATCAGGTTCTGAATTTCTGGATTCCTCTTACCTGAGTGACCAGCAGACCTGAGATCTCTCTTCAGGCGGATGGGTCCTATTGCGGTGTTGGTTTTCCACGTGTATGAAGAAATGTCTCTCTTCTGCCTGGGGACACAGCCTTCGGTACAGCGAGAGTTTGTGACTTCGCTGTTGCAAATCAAAATGTCACACTGGAGGTAAACTGACGGAGAGCTCCGCAGGAACCTGAAGGCGTTAAATTTGAATCTTCCGTAGTGCTCCAGCGGTGGGTAGGTTACCACGGTGTCGTCTTTGTTGCAGCTGCAACAGAGTTTACAGAGCATTAAAGTAGTCCACGTACTGTAATCACTCCTGCTAACTGCTGGTAACCGTAACCATTTCACTAGGGTGTTATTTTTACACGTGGGCTTTGTTTCCTCTCCTCAGTGCAATGTGGTGCTTGTTTTTCCTGACTCTGTTTCTGTACTGCTGTAATGGGTCTGCATGGCAAGGTTTTG